ATTTTTGTTGTTCATGTGCAGGAATATTAGAAAAATGAAAACCATGTTATCTTATATCAATTAGTTATTGTTATCATTTCTTCTGAAATTAAAATAAAATCTTTTCTCACAATGAAAGAATATAATAATATATTTTGTATAACACATAAACAAATTTAAAAATTATAATAATACAATTACTAATGGCTAATATGAATGAATAATAGATTTAATAAATAAGTATAAAAATAATCTAATCTACGGTCGTTATAATGAATAACATCAAGATCTACATCACGGCATTCAATGAAACACAATATTTAATTAAAAATGAAATAGCAACTATTGAACCTAAAAAGAAATATGATAACTAAGAAAGAAGTATGAAAACTAAGAATCCTAATATTCTTTCATTCCCATGACTCAAACACGTGGAATGCAATTGTAATCTAATTGATTCTTTTGAAAGCTTATGATAACGTATATAAACAACTTCATCATATTATATAATATGATGATAGTTACGATGCCGGAACCATAAAATAATGCCGTAGCATTTTTAATGTATTTTTATAAAGTTAATTATATTAAATCTATTTTTAAAAATAAAAGTTGGTATAATATTTAGAGCTCCATAAGATTGCTTACTTTATAATGTAAGCTAATAATTGATATTATAAGATTTGTCTTTAATGATGAAATAGATTAAATACGTACAGTATATCGAATACAATGTAATACCTGATGAAAGCAAAATGTAAAAGAAATGTGTAAAAAGAAATTTTATACATAGTTTATTTAAGTTTCAAAACTTTGACTCAATATTGGGCATATATAATATCGTTAATTGATTTAATTATAATAAAAATATCATTGCATCTGTGATTATAATTATTATTTATATAATTATAATTTCAATTATAATAAAAAGCGACAAAATAATAGTTATAATTGATAATTAAGTAATTAAAACTAGAAAATAAATTATTAAAAAATATTAATGTTTTAAAAACTCATGAAAGAATATAAGTTACTTAGACAATTGATTTATGAATAGAAAGAGAAGTTTATTCTATATTTTAATATAGACACTTTATCAAACAAAGAAAAAATTGTAAAATTTAGATAACTCAAAACTCAATGAATATGAAATAGCATCGTTTTTATTAATACATTTCTAAATAATTTTCCATTAATATATATAAACGTATGATATACATAGGATTCAAATAATAAAGTGTCTTTGAAACCTATTATTATAGTTCATATTTAACATTTACAGTTCAAATTTAATTTAACTTCACATCTTGAAAGTTAATATAATGTAAGACAATATTAAAATTCTATAATAAATATACATATTATTTTAATATAATCTTACATTTATTTTATATTTAGTTCAATGAAAGGATAAATAAATAATAGAATTGTAAGTAAATCAGAATATATTAAAATTATATGTGGACTAAAGGGCTGTCAGATATTTATTGAAAATATTAAAATTAATTTTGCTATTGAGATCAACAATTAACCGAAGTAAAATCTAATAAAGATACAAAGAAATAAAAAAATTAATATAAAGAAAACATATCCTGAAATTAACACGCAAAAAATAAGATTTTTTCAGAGGATTCATAAATTCACATATAATTGAAAACTTAGGTACTGAATATCAAAGACACATTTTAATATTTCTATTAAAAATTTTTTCAAATGATCGTGTTCTTTATATAACAATTAAATGTAGTCAATAAGAAAGTACTAAGATATTTCAATTTAATAATTAGATATACTTTATAAATTTAATGAATGGCTTTATATTTTTATACAATAAGAGAAAAAGCATGTTGGTTAACCAAATACAGATAAGTTAATCTATTATCCAACATTTGTCCTTGCTATATTAGACAGATTTTCGAATCCCGACGTCTCATAGGTTTATATGTACACGAATAATTCATCTATAAGTTTATACAAAGAAACAGAAAATATGTAATATATTTAATCTTACAGATAATTAAAATTATTAGCTATCGCAAACGTATTTCTTATTTTTAAATACAGACATTATTAAAAAATGAAATTTCTCGATCTAAGCTATTTACTTTAAATACGGACAATGAATTAAATACTATATTAAATATAATCATTGATAAATATATACACAAACCGACTGAATTCACTTGGTATTTATTATTTCCTTATAATCAATTACTTCTTATTAATGTCAAATTGATATCATCATCGTATACAGTTGAATTATATTCATTACGGTACTTTAAAAATTATTATTAAATATTGAACGTATGCGCTAAATTTTCGAAGATTATTTTTTCCTATCGTCTCATCAATTTTATGAATGATATGAAAAAATATCAATTATTTTGATCGAGTAATCGCAAATATTATAAATAATTATTATTTTTATGCCACACACAGAATATATGCACTAATGCAACATTTTTCTACACAATTAATTTATGTGAATAAATTATTTATTTTATTTCCAGTTCATGTATAAAAATATGATTATTCATTCCTTTCTATTCATTTTTATTCATTGTTTTTTTCTATGTTTAACAATATATAATTATTTTTTAATTTTTCGATACTCAGTTAAAATCTATCATGTCATAAAAGTTAAATATAAAGTATGATTTTATAGATTTATACTATTCTTTATTCACAACCCGTTTCATTATTTTAAATATATTTTTCATGTTTCATTAATTCTTATTACTCGACGTCAATCAGTGTAAATTACTTTCATACAATTGAATCAAATTCCTCATATACAATCCGTTCTGATTACATTCTTATAATCGTTTCGAATATAAAATATTTTTATATAAAGTTTTTTTCTTAACCATGTCAATAATCAATTCGAAATTTAATTTCGGTAATACTGCATAAGTATTATGTGTGCATGTATATCTTGATACGAAATAATTTGATAGAAAGTGTAATGTAAAAGTAAAAACAAGAATACTTTAAAATCATTTTTCTAAAAATATTCCGTTTTATAAAAGAAAATTAAATGACTATTCTTATAAAATATTAAGTAATCATTAATTTTTAAACACTTTCGCAATTGTAATTTTTATATAAAATTATTTATATATATTTATGCTTTATAATATAGTATTGTATAAATTGTAATAAAATTATTAATTCACAATTTAATAGAAATAAGTTTAATAAAAAATTTAATGATAATTACGAAATTAAATTTTAAACAAATGCATAAAAATAAATAATCGCATACAAAAATTAATAAATTCAAAGTATATCAAATATCTAATAAATGACAATAATCGCAATGCACACATTATATTAGAAAGCAATTTTTATATTATTATCAATTAAATTCTAAAATTATAGATAATATGTTTTGTGAATTTTAAATAGAGTGAAAAACATTTTTTTTTAATCTTATATAAATGTTTGTACATATAAGCAACTATTATTCTATAAATTCCATGATATTAATAATAAATTATGATTCATTTGTATAGAATTTTGTAAATAAAATTTACGAAATTCAAATTTAGGCTAAAACAATATTACAACCATATGCACCATCTATTAAATAATATGATAATTCAAACATTATATTTACAGTCGATAAAAGCATTTTCTCATTTAGCAATATTATACTGTATAAATCAATAAAAAATTTTAAATATTATTTATTTAAGAAAAGACAGAACACACGTTTTCAGAAAAATTTTACAATCTTTATTTAGAATTAATTATAAAAAATATATACAAAATTTTATAATATATACATTATAATCAACATTCAATTATTTATTAAATATTTTATCGATGCTTTATTTTATTCAATATAAATCCGTTAAATTAATTAATTTTTATTTTTAAATTATATTTATTAAATATTGCTAAATTTAGTATTCTATTTTACTACATAAACCAAAAAAGCTATTGAGTCCAAAAGTTATATATCCTGAATATTTCTATCTATAAATTTATTTGTTCCAATTATAGTTTTTATTCTATACTATGACAACATACATTTCTATTTTTTCTTCCTCTTTACATAAGATTATGGAAAGATTTTATGGTTTATGCACCCAATAAATACAACCTAACTATTATGATTCTTATCAATGCTATTGGCAGATAAATTCCTAGCACGTCCGCGTCACGATTACTGATAAAAAAAATTTGTATGATAGAATGGATATCATTGAAAGAGAACTAAAAGATGAATTGAGTAAAGTACGATAATTTTGAAAGCTACGTAATAAAATACAACCTTATTTAAATACAAATAGTATTCAAATGATTGATTAGAGTAATAGAGGAGTGAAATTAGTTTTATATTTGTTCGTACACGATATTTACGGCTTCTATTTTTATGAAAGACATATATTTCCAAGAGTATTTTATACACATTAAAAGTATAATAATATAAAATTACCTTATTATTAATAAACTTTATCACTAATGCAATTGTATAAGCCAAAATAATATCGAATATTATACCGAAGCATATTCATATAGAATGAAAATATTGTGTATATACTATCTTATAATGAACTTATTTCATAATTATAAATTTAAATTCTTTTAATAGCTTGTGCTTAATTTTGAAAAAGATAAAAATGATAAATTTTAAGTTATAATATTTTAACAATGTCGAAGTAAGATGTAAATTTTATTGTCCTTTATAAGATAACTAAAGGAATCTATGAAAATGTGTTACCGTGAAAGGATAAAAGCTTTTATCGACTGCTGTAAATAAAGCCATTCCAATAAATATACTGTCACACATTATATTCTGCCATCTGTGAAGATATTTTAGCTCGTTCTAAAGCATAAAATTTAAAAAGGAATTGAAATGTTTGATCGATAGTATATAAGTCTTGAAGGTAGTTTTGAATACCGACGAATTGTTCGTCGTTTTTCATAAATTAGAGCCAACATTTTCAATAGAAAATAATGGGTTACTATTAAAAAAAATGATATTTATATTAAAAATAATATCCGCAAAGATATGATAATAACGTTAGTAAAAAAATTTTTTAAATAATGGGGGATTTAAATTGTCAAAGTGGCTATTATGGAAAAAAAACGAATTGGTTAAAATTCATTAAACACTCAAAGTAAGTTACTATACATTTTTTTCAATTTTTATACTTTTATATGTGTGTAAAATTTTTTTAAATTCGTTACTTTAAGTTATACATATTACATATATATATATTTAATTTCTTATTTATAACAATTTTAATTTTTTGCTGATAAGTCAGCTGTCATAATTTAAATATATGTATATTTCTATTAAAATTTTACTAAAATGAGAAGTTTTAACTAAAATCTAATAATCTATACTTAACTATATAAAATATTCATAGTTCTATAGTAGGTTAATTTATATAATTTATTTTTAATACGTCGAGTTTCCTTTAAAATTATTTTATTTTATTTTCATTGTTATCAATTTTTATTTTCATTATTTTAATTCTTGTGTACCTAAAATAACTAGTATACTATATTGAATATAGTAGAAAATAAAATAAGAGAATTAATCATTCGTTGCATTAATTGCATTTTGATACAAAATTAACAATATTATATTAATGAATAAATATTTTTATTATACGTAAATTATATTCTTAATTAATAATACACAATAATACACATACCCACACTCAATAATACACATTGGGTACATTTAATTTAAAATAAGAATAAAGTATTAATATATTAATTAGTATATTAATAAGTGTGTATTAATAAGTATTAAGATGAAAATAAATATATCAGCAAATAATAATTTATAGCCTAGTATTTAAAAATTAATGTTTTAGATGGGAATATCCAGTTCCTGACTCAAGATCACATTGGAATGGAGTTTTCGCTGATATTGAGAAAAAGTATAAAAGAGTAAGATATCCTTCTCCTTCCCTTTTTCTACTTTCGAAATCCTCAACACTCCCTGTAAGAACTCAGCTTTCTGATAAAATTAAAGTTAAAATATCTCATTCAGAACCATTAGAGGGAACAAAAACATCTTCTATTAATAACAAAATTAAGATACTTGATAAAAAATTACTTGCAATTAATAAAGAAGGAGAATATGTTATAACTGATCAAGTTTCTTTATCACCTCTCTCGACTTCTAAAAAAATGAAAATACGTTCATCTAACAGTAATATTGAACCAATTAAAAATAGAAAAAAATATACTAAAACAGCATATTCACACGATAAAAAAACGTTACCGGTGCAAACATCCGACGATAGAAATTTTGAATATTTAAAAAAAATCAATAGTTCTTTGATGAAGTTACAAAATTTTTCTAAAAAAAATGTATATCATAATCATAAATCAATATACAGTAATCCAATGCCTTCAATGTACTCCAACATCAATAAGAAAACTGATGATAATGAAACTTTCAAGAGAAATATATCAAAAGCACCAAAACTCGGGAAAGCCAGTCTTCTACCGAGCTTTGGCAAAACAGTTGCCACCGACAATGTAGTTGTGCCTAAAGAATATTTTGACTCGGATACCACATCTTCAAGATCTGAAAGTCAAAGTGATATCGGCACAAGTATTAAAGTTAAGAGAGGTGACTTTTTGCACGTACCGAATTTAAGATTCATCAGTTGACAACCAAGTTTTCGAAAGCCCTCCCCTGTAGATATGTTCGGAGAAGAATATAGCGACTCCAAGAATATTTCAATTAGATCGGAGGAAGAATTTTTAATCACAAAAACAAGCCATAAATCTGGGAAAACGAATTTAAATTTTAAAGGTGAATCTGTAACTAAAAAAGAGAAATATTTTCAAAATAAAAAATTAAACATACTTAAAATGCTTGTTGAAAATACGGATATGACTGAAAATTTATCTTATTATAAAAAAAAATTTGCGTGCAAAGCATTAAGTAAAATAACAAATAACAAGCATTCAAATAAATATTTTAAAACTATTATATCCAGTAAAGAAAGCTCTTCGTTGTCTGAAAGATCTATAAAACTTCGAACAACTAAGTCTGAATATAAAAAATTAAAAAACAGCAAAGAAGACTCGATTAATTTTAAAGAAATACATAAAAAATTTAAAAAGATATCGAATAAATATTTGAAACATAGTAAAAGTTCTGAATCACTTCCAGAACAATTAAACAAGTCGAGAACTATTCGTTCATCATCTCGTAGTGCTTCAAACCCAAGCACTTATTTACAGAATAATAGCTTAAATTCATTAAGAGACATCTTTAATGAAATACCTGAAACAAAGATTTTTCGTAGAGCATATATAGACAAGTGTTATACTTGCTTACATAAACCATTTCAAATACAGAGTAATGTTACTCGTGAACCAAAATTTAAGATATTTAATGTTAATTTTCATAATACTGCATGTATAAGTAATTCTAGTTCAAATTCTAGTTCTAGTATTAATTCGATTATTGAAAAAATAAAAATTCATTCCAATTATGATCTAGAAAATGAAAGCATTGAATCATTAGAAATTGAAGAAAATTTATTAAACAATAATTTGATAAATAAAAGGATAAATGATGAAAATACAAATGAATCATTCTCAGAATCACTAAATGAAAAAAATATATATTTAACGCCAAATAATGATAGCAACATTCTATCTTCCGAGGATCAGATTATTGTACCACAGTTGCTACCCGAATATCACTCAGAGAATAAATCGTTATCTATCCAATCATTAGATCGTTCAAGGACAACATCTTTAAGCAATCGAAGCTCTGATTCAGAAGAAACGCGGTTTCAACCAAATGAATTACCTTCTTCTAAATTTACAGCGTCATGCCATGCACCAATTATTTGGCGCCCGAGTCTCGAGCCTCTTCGGGCTCTAAAATTTAAAAAAGCCATGTCTTTACATACACGAGCTAGAGCTATTGCAGCGACCTTAAGTACAGATAGTGATTCTAATAATTTAAGTAGAAATGCAGAGTCAAAAAAATCGGAAATACTGGAGAAAGAAAAAGTTGTATCATCTAAAACTGCAGTAGATGTAACAGAAATGCCAATAAAAAAGCCTGAAATACAAAAACAATTAATGAGGATAAAAAGTGCTATAGATACCACAGCATCCTATACCTCATCAACTGATGATCCAATAGTGAAAGTAAAAAATAAATTAAAAAGAGCAAGAACGACTTTTGATTTATCCTCGGTCCGCAATAAGCCTCAATGCAACGAATTAGACAAAGAGGAGAACATTAATGTCGAAGCTAAAAATATTTCAGATTCTGCAAATATAAATTTACCATATTCTGATATAATAATTTCACATCGAGCAACTTCTCCTCCGTCGCCAATTATGTCAGCTGATGATGTTATCCACGTGATTAAAGAATGTCTTGAAAATGACTTTAGTGCACCGAGTCTTATGGGGAAACTCAAAGATGAATTTATAAAAAAACTTGAATATAAATATGAGAATACGGATAATAGTGAGAGCAAAAAATATTTAAAACTTGGATTAAATTTATTTAAGACTCTCGTTGATTCTCGACAATATATTAAATCTAATATATTCAACCCTAACCTTAATTTTTCTCAAAAACAGCCTCCCGTCATCAATACTCGACAATTGAGACGTATCCTTTCACAAAGCACCTACAAAAATGTGGCCTCAATACTAGGAAAATCAGAATACGTTATAAATGAACCAAAAGTTAACATTTCTGAATTAAAATGTACGTTATCAACTGGCAGATCATCGGATACAGATTCGAACTTGACATTTGATCTAATCGTAGGTAGTAAATAGTGTTGTAATCATTTATATTGTTTACTTCATTATTCTTATATGTATTTAATTAGTCAAAATGCTATGTATTTGTTCTTTTATTAAACTTTTATAGATATTAAGATCATAGTAATATGTTGAAAGAAAAATTTATCTATTTTATTTTCAAACAGATAAATAATTTTATTTAAAAAATTTAATTCTTCCTGATGAGCGAGAAATTACTGATCAGTAACAATAGTCGTATTTTACATATAATAATTTAATACATTTCATCAAATGTTGTTAATCTATTCATAATAATGATTATTCTACAATTGAATATATTAATATAGTATAACATCATAATATTTTAGGTTCATCCTGGAACTTCTGAAACTTCAATCGAAAATTTAAAAAAGTTGCATATAGGTCATACAAATCCATATGCTTTATTCTTAAAAAAACCACGACAAAAGGTTATTTTATACTTTCAATTTTCATTAAATATGAAAAAATAAATGTTTAAATAATCATTAAACAAGGAAAAATAATGTTTTCATCATGTAAATTTATATTTATTCTATGAAATAATTTTATAATTCCATATAATATAAATTATTTAAAATGCAAGTTGAAAATGAGAAAAATGCATAAAGTATGTATTACAATTCCGATTTACAATCTATTCAATAAATGAATAAATACTAAATAACTGCGAGAATTATCTTGTATAGTAATTTTTTTTTATAATTTAATACTTGTATTAATATTTATCAATTTAAGAAAAACTTTATAAGCTATTTAAAGATTGCAAAAAACGTATAAAAGATAAATAATGATTGTTAATTTTAAAATAATAATTCATAAATAAATATGAAAATGAATTTTTGTATACATATGTATATTTCTTTTATTATAAAGGCAATAATATGGCGCCCTCTGCGAAAAGAAGATTTACTAGACTACGACCCTGAAGCCACTTTAGAAATGCGAGCTACACGACTGGTGAACAAAATTTGCACGGAATTTTGCGACTGGATGAGTAAACTGGGCGGAAATGTAAAAATGATAGATGAAGAAACTCTGGAAGATATGTTTGAAATAAACTTTACATCTGATGCTTGCAAATCAACGCAGGTAAATCTCACAATTAAATAAGAAAATATCTAAAAATAGTAGCTCTTTTAAATTTTTCATTAGCAATTTGAAATGTAACAAACAAATTTAATCTATCATAAGATAACATTACTAATTTATATTACTTTCGTTTATAAAGATAAATATTTTTCCAGGTCATTGTAAAAGAAATGCCTACGATACCAACTTCAGTAGTGAAAGCTCGAAAGTGTTTCGATGCTGATGAGCTGAAGAATACTCGCAGCCAACTAAAGAAAGATATTACGGTAGAAAAAAGCGTAAAGCGTACTTTTGCTTTTGGACAGACTCTTCCGCCTGATTTACGATTTGTCCCACCGCAAACTAAAATCACAACCAAGTGGCTCAACTATGAAAACATTCCCCAAGACATCGAATCAATGGACATTATTTGGAATGATATTATGCATTTGGATAGCGTTCAAGCATTTGTTAATTATTTAAAGAAAAATCCTGAGGTATTTATTATTGTCAAAATATATCGTATTTTACTTATAAAAAATTTCATTATAATAGAATTATTTTATACTTTAAATTTTGTAAAAGATATTTTATTTTTCTTTCTCTAAATATGTATTAATATATACTATTATAAAAATTATATACTAAATAATCATACATTAATATTTATATTTATAAATCATTGATTAAATTTGTCATAGGTTATGTCTCAGAAGTTTCGTAAGAATATTTTTCAAAGACTTACTTCGAAAATCTCAAAACGATAGAAGATATATCTCCAATCTGAATGTAAAAGACAAAAATAACAAAATTCCACAGCTAATGATAATATATTAAACATTTTAATTATACCAATATGCTATTATTTAAGTGTTTCTGTTTTATAAAAGAAATAATTTCTTTCTACCTTATTAATTTTAAATCTTTGAAATTTTGGGCAAGAATTTGATAGTATTCATTAATAGGTACGTATATGTATAGGTTGATATGTACATAAAACGAAACATATATAAATGAATTTATGCATAGATACAAGTATATATATACTTGAATGCACATGTTATTTCATATTTTAATGTATTACAATATGTATTACAATAAGTATGCATGCGTGTATGTGTACTTATATATATATATATATATATATATATATATAAACATACATATATACAACTACGTACATGTGCTTACAAAGTTACGTATATACACATCCACGTATACGTACATATATTAAAGTTAACATTATTTATATAAGTAAATCATAATTAACTCATTTCAGGGTTTTATGAATTATTTTGCAACATTTATATTAGTTTATATATACAAGAATTATTAGAATTATAAGTTTTGGCCATATCTACCATCGTTTAAAATAAATAAACAAAAAAATGTATTATATATTATAAATATAATATTATATTCTATAAAAACAAATATTGAATATGAATTGATTCAATTTCATTTTTACGAAAACCTGCCTAGTAGTGAATGATATCTAATTGTTTTTATCATAAATAAAAAGTGTAAAATTATAATAGAAGTTCACCATAAAATATTTATGTAAATGTGAAGTTATTAGTTTTTTTATGAAACATTTTTTTCCTATTTATATAATAAAAATTTAATTAATTGAATAATATTAGTATTGTAATAAAATTAAGAAAAATAATTTTTATAATTTTTCAATCATATTTAAAATTTGCAAGTGTATTGTATAATTTTTCAGTTCTATTTTCATTCTTTCTATATTTAAACTTCTATTAAATACATATATGTACAAATTATATTTAGATTACTTTTATAGTATTGTTATAATATAATTATTCTTTTATCCTTTCAAAACCTTCTTTTTTCTAAAGAATATCTTTCGAAAAAATGATCAGTTACTGATTTCATACCTTTTCAACTTTTTATACTTTCTTCTAACAATATTTGTAATCAATTACTTTTAAATGATAATAATAATTTGAAAAGATATTTAGTTAATAATGATTATGTTTAAAATAATTCTACTTATTGTAAGATAATATATTAAGATGTCGGATGCCTTCATTATTTTTACAATTTTTTAATTATCATTAATTATGTATAATTAATATTCTAAATATTTTGATTCTTATTAATTTTATATCATTATAATTTTATGTTATTAATTGTAAAATGTCAAAACAAATATCAGTTTTTGAAAATTAAGTATTATACAAATAATATTCTATAATAAAACTCTATGATATAAATTCGAGCTATATAAAATTAAATTCTATAATTAAATAACTTTATACTTGCATTCGCCACTAATAAACTTTATGAAATGTAATATTTTTAATTTTCTTAATTACATTCAATGTTAATCGTTATAAAAACAAAATTTATTCAAAGATGCTACTTTGAAATTTGGAAGCCCGAAATTCAATACCTACAGTATAAACTAGCAATTAAATAAATAATTAATAAAGTTATAATTTTTTATTTTTTTAATACTCTTATTTATTTTTATTATATTTTAATTATGCTTTTTCTGTATTCGTTGTATAGATTTTAAAATATATAAAAAAGTGATATCGAAGCGGTAAAACAATATTATCGTAAAATATGATTAAAAATCTTGTATAAGAAAATATTTGTAAAAGATTATCCTATACAATAAAATATATTACGATAAAGGTAAATGTAACAAAATTGTGGTAAAACTATTATTTTTACCTTGTACATATTTATTCATAATTTTCCTATAAATTAACAAAGAAATGAATATCAAAATATCATGTATTAATAAGATACTGTTAGTGCCAATAGATATATAGAAATTATAAACAGTCAAATTGATCCCTTCAACAATAACTATAGTTGACCGCTAATCCAGAGTCATTCAAGCTTCAATTCATATGTAAATTTTTTGTTTGTTTTTTTTTAATCTGGCCAGCGCCATTGAAGTATCGTCATTATCACGCAGTTTCAGATGATACCTTACCAGGAAAATTCCAATTCGCGTGTATGTTGATCTCTCTTTATATAAGCGCCCATCCAGGGGAACGAATGGACGCCCGTTTCGTGTATGCGACGGACTTGGTAAACCTGCAACCTCGAATAAATCGATACTCACATCTTCGACTCTGTAAACTAGTAAACCTCGCATATCAATGTAACTGTTCCCGGTCTTAACAACTTTGTTTGCTCCTGTAGTCTGAAAAATAGATGTAAGTGCTTAAGTTATACTACATTTTATTATCGAAGATGAGACGACAGGTTGATATAACATTGTTTATACTTGTAAAGTACAATGATTTATACTTATACATATATTTCTATTGTTTATTTCTATTATTTATAGTTGTTACATATGAGTACAGTGTACCATAATAATTTTCAGGTCTTTTTATTTTTATATATTACAATATTTGACTGATTTGGTTAAAAAGTTTATCTGAGAAAAGCTTTAAATTATTTTCGGAATTTATAAATATGATAACATGTTTTACATACATTTTTTGCTCAATTCGATTATAAGTATACAAGAACATGTTGTCAAAAATAAATAATTAATACATTTAAGCAAACATCTAATAAAACATCTAAAAAGTATCTAATAATAAGCGTAAAATTATAAAATTAGAAATTATAGGATTGTTAATACAATATGTTATTTATAATTGGTATTGCCTTATACATATAATTAATATACATACAAAATACATACAATTTTACCACAAATTTTACCATAAATTTTATTACATTTATTTTATTTTTAAGACTCATATCATAATATATTAAAAGTTATGCATTTAATATTTTATTAACTTTTTGAAGTTCCTATTTAATTATTGATAATTAATTATTAAATGAAATATTGAAAACAGTAATTTTACTGCAAATATTAGAAAGAAATTAAATTTTTCTTTTGTCTTTAATACGTAAATGAATGAAAATAAACTAATAGATAGAACGTTTCCCACATGCGTGTAGGTGTATAGAAAAAAAATCATTATTATTCGATACTTGATCGAAATATTATAGAAGTATGAATTCTTATAAATAAATACAATTGGCAAAAGTTTATCAATTTACTAAACGCGCAAAGGCATTTTCATCAATACAATAATGCCCGGTCAAGGGAACGCTGAGCTCTAAGCAGGAAGATGAAAGATACGCGTAGCTATTGTAACGAGGTTTGGATAAGAGACTTTTCGAAGCTCGCGAGATTCCCGAGAAGCGAGATGAGTCTGCGAATGATCTGCATACGCTTTCATTCGCAAATAGTTGGCGCTGTTTTCCCAAACAGCGAAGTTTTGGTGGGCTCGATTGAGCCTGCGTGTACAATCGGTGCCATTGCGGCGATTCGGCTCGTTACGCTCGTCATGCGCAAATCTGATGAGAGCCACTTCCGTTCGTGGCCGATCCATTGTCAGGGTGATACGGCCGCTGACTGTCGTTGAGCTACTCCCGATATTCTGACAATGAGTCTACGAGAGCCAACCTTATGTTGCTCTGACCCTTCAGTTCTAATGACATTTTAATTTTTAGCAACCGAAAACTACGACTGAAGTGAAATAGAGATTATTCAAGAATATGTACTAGCTATCGGCGTTTCTGATCTCGATGTGCGAGTAACTCATACTAAAATTTCTTGTACTTATAACATACACTATCTGAATAATGATAAAATAAATTTTATTATGAATTGATATGCTAATAAAGCCTTGTTATATTTAATATTACTGTTGCACACAATTTGAAATGTCTAATAAATTTAATATGTCCGTACGGAATGCAATTAGATATAAAATTACATATAAGCTATGACGAAATTTCAAATCAATTTAATTTAAATTACAAGACAGCAGTTATCGCAAATCCTTTTCCAAATAATACATGCGAATGAAAAAAAAAACCCAGTTAATAAGCTTACGTTCATCTCTATTATAAATGCATAGAAAATAAAATATCAAAGCCTTTGTAAAATCCGTATTCATAAATTTCAATAACAGATATCAAGTTATTGTTCGAAATAATCTACTTTTCAAAAACGCAATAATCGAAATGAATGCGAATCTGTGCTTAAAGAGACATTCAAACAAGTCAGTTGGGAATATTCGAAGATAACCAGTTTGACAAATCCGGACTATATCTTAGTCGCATACTCGTGCCTGTCATCTTTTACCCACTTGGTTATTAAACTTTGTTATATTCATGCACACCAAATGGGTAGGTAGGAAGGCAGTACAATTTTGCACCGCAGCCGCGTCACATGAAAGACAATCGGTACGAACGAGCTGCCGTACATTCAGAAATGTACGCGTCTATTCTCCGGCGCAGTTATCACGTAACCATGTGCACATTTTGTATTATACTGATGCAGGAATTTGGGACGAGAGCGGTACCATAGGGACTTTTCATGGCTGATTCTCGTTGTAACGTTAATGTCTCATATTTCGGGTACTGTCACGCTGCGACAATTCGGAAACATGCGAACGATTGATTGGCAGCCTTGCGCTGGTATATATCTACGTTAATCAGGTTAGATCTATAGAAAATTAATTGCATGCTTCGCAAATTTTAAACGATTTTTCACATTCGGTCAGTTTTAAAAAGTGTTTATATTAAATTTCACTTTTCTAAATTTATTTTTGTTAAGAACTTTATCGTTCATTTTCCAGTATTTACACAATACTGAGATATTTTAAAAGGTGTACTTTTCCAGTTCAGCCGCATTTTGCCTTCTCAATACTACAATCAAAGATCAAATAATTATACTTTATTTCAATAATTTATTCATTTCGATAAAAAGCAATATTTCATTTATCCAACGTCCGTTTT